TTATTATAAAAATGTGTGGCTGAATATGAGATTAAAAAATAAAGAATTTTGAAATAACGATAGACAAATAGATTCAATTTAAAGTTTTAAACTACCTAATAGTCTACCACTAAAATACAGGTTAATGGTCCGTTTGGCAATAATTTTGTTTTTATCTTAGTTTTTTGTAGGATAGTTTCTTTTAAAAGCTCTTCAAAACAGAAAAGCATGAAGTATACAAATAGACCCTTGATAGAAATTATTTAAATATGCCCCAAAACAATTTTTTAATGTCATAAATAACTTTTAATTTTTTAAAAAACCTTTCAAATTGGTCGAAATCTACTTTGACAAATTCTTATTTTTTTTCATGAGCAAATTACTATGTAACTTCCGTACTTCTTGGACACTCTGTGAAAGGAAAACACCAATCCTTAAAGAAATGAAAGAAATAATTAAGACCGAATACCGAATCATATTCTTTTATTGTCGTGGCCATTGACATTAGAGGTATCGACAATTACCTACTATATAGTCAATAAGAAGATTATACAATCTACACCCAACATGTAACATCCCATACTGGATTGCCTACCGGTATGAAACCCTCTATATTCATGTTGGGCCACCTATCGCTACGAGGGACTCTTCGCTCATACTGAAAAGTCCCTCTCTTTTTTATGAACATTAAGTAAACATTAATGACAACTTTCTATTGAAAATAAAATTATGACAAAATGTCTTATTATTTAAATACGGGTAAACAATAGCGGAAAGAAATAAAACTCAATTTCCATGCAAGGAGTGGTTTCTCGTGGGAATTCCTTTTTGAGCTCACCTGGCTTCTTAAATTTCTAGTTTTACATATTTTGTCCACATTTTCGGCCCCTGTTTATGAGGGTTTTCTTCTCTTACTTGGTGAGAATGGATGACAGCATTCCATTCAGATAACTTATATGAGAGTGCTCAAGTAGAAAATACTTCATTAAACTAGGAGTCCTAAAGGCATGTGCATTACATGCATAGGCACCTAATGGTAATGGAGAATATCTTGTAAAATGCCTCAGCTCTCCCATCAGGTGCTTATTACACAAATTTCTCTGACCTATATTAAGGCATTTTATATCATGAATACTGAGAATCACAACTCATGCCAAATCTCTTATTTGAAAAATACATGTTTAGTCATAAAATCCCTAAAAATGGAGATTGCTTTGTTCATAAATGTGATGATAAAGAGCAACCCTTTTGGTTATGAAATGATAAGTAAAAATAGGATTGAAGACTTCAAACATGGTAAAATACAAGAGTTAATCTCGAATTCCTCATAACTAATTTTAAGCTTGATTATAAATTTTCCAAAATACGACATCCAGTCAATATGTCTCAAACTAAATGAACAACAATCGAAAAGAACTAGTCCTTGCTTCCATTCAATACTGAGATAGATAATTTAAATGAAAAGCAGCAAATGCAATTACTCACTGAAAATCAAATGTACCATGATGAAGATCAAATATTACAACGAGATTCTCTTCCATTATTTAATTGAATGGTTCCGTCTTCCATGTTAAATATTCCCATGTCAAGGCCACCTCCGCTTGGTTCATTGAAAAGAGTTCACAATTATCATCTGTAAAGTGTAAAGTATATGTAGTTTGGTTTGATACATTCTGACGACGCAATTGATGTAAAAACATTACTACCTAAGAACAATGCTTGATCTCCCCCTAAACTAGTCACTTTAGTTAATCCATATGCATAATTACTCCCCTCCTCGTGACATTCATCTAGCCTCAAAACAAAAGCCAGTTGTATAGCATCTAGCTTTCTAGTAGTTAGATCTAAGTCAACTAATTCGATCAAGAAACACAATTCTCCTCTTATAATACTCAAACAATTTGAAAATAGGTAGATATAAACATGCTTAGCTCGGAATATGAAAACTTTATTGAATTCATTCCATTGTATTTTTATTTACAGGCTTGAACTTCCAATGTGAACGACTAATCAAAGCTCCTATGAAGCAACCATCTCACATTGTAAGATGAAACACTCCCTGACTTGCATTACTTACTTTGTTTTGTTGTTAGCTTCTTCCCTTCCTTTGGGATCATGGACATGATTTTCATGCTTAGAAAATTCGGCTATTGTAAGAAATAGCCTAAAGCATGTCGTGCATTCTTTTCCTCCTTTGTTCAATATATGTCTGTGCACGGTTTTGTTATGTTCAAGAATTCCTCCTCGTTTGTCGTAACTTGATCCACACAAATGGCAAAAGAATTCTTTTTCCTTGTTTGTCTTCTTTTTCCCACCCATACTATAGAAAAGCAAAGTACATGATATGTAGTTAGAACCATTCCATGTCAAATAAAGGATACAACAAAATATAATATGCCTTTCAACCTCTCTGTAATGAACAAATGTTTATGATTTAGTAGAGAAGATTATCTAAATAATAGTTATGAATTAAATAAAGCATAGTGCATGATATTCACCTAATGTTGACTATAATATTCTGAAACGTTATCAAAACATTCCGGCATCTCAAATGTTATTATTTTACACACTAAATATTCTGAATCTGAATTGCACACATATAATGTCGAAACCAGAGAAGAAAGTGGACATTGAGAATTTGAGGCAGTGCAGGCTAATTGAATATAAATTCTTCACTTCTATTGACAAGTGAAATTTTTGTTAGCTAGATAAAACAACATATCTTCTTAAACAAAAGACTACTTGGTCAATACATGCACTAAGAGACGAAAGCTAGGGGCGAAAATGGGAAGTAGTCCTAACCTAAAATGATAAATAATACATGAGAGTATTTGAAACGTGTAGTGCAGTAGCTAATGGGTTAAGTATCACAGCTGGACACTAAAGGGACACGCTGTTCAAGAGTCACCACTAGACCAACATTGCATACAAAATCAGAAGAAGACAAGGGATAGTATCCTCATAATCATTACCTTATACGAGACAAACCAATCAGAACAGGGCATGTCCGACATAAACTTAAGACATCTCCTAATGCATGAGAATATCATATTTTAGCAGTTCTCTGGCACCCTGCGATATGCTCACAAGTGCAGCGAAATACAATGGACTTTTACCCTTTCATCTTCTATTTTCCTATTTTTTCTTTAATACCATCTAAAATCATCAAATCACAATGATATCATGGGATACAACACTTAAGTACTAATGCAAATTATAAGTACTCTTACATAGTTGTAAAACTAAAAATTTTCGTGGCAAACACATAAAGAACTATTCTTCGTGAAATTTGGTCCCAATTTACCTCATGGTTATGCCGTTTCATTTTTCCATCACTACAAAATATACAGTATATAAATCTAGCTATAACGTGACATAGATGACTCAATAGCAGCCCAACTAATCCTCAACAATACCATCAAAATAACTAGCTAATTCTCTGACCTTATTTTTCATAGTAATTCATGGGAAAAACCGCAAACAATTCTGAACAACAGGTATTAAACAAGCTAAAGAAACTAAAAAAACTTAACATAGTTCATCATATATATGTTACTAATTCCAGATATCTACTTGAAGTCATTGATTCTAATTATCTCACTTTATTTTCATCATCAGTCATGGGAAAAATCAAGTATCTCAAAATTTGTAGAGAAGAGATGCATTGCAGGACTACATGCTCATATCGAGTCCTAATAACCCCTTCTCTTATTCTACAAAGCATAGTGCTTGGCGAACACTGACACTGAGAGATAGCTAGGGCAGTGAACTGGATTGCATGCCCCATTAATCCTAGCTATACGACGGAAAACTAGGTGTTGTGCATATTGACCCGAAAATTATCGTGCATGGATATCGAGGAGCACACTACTTAGCAATATCACCACAAGGCCATGTATCATAGTATACAAAATCAAAAGAAAATGTTTGTTAATTTGAAACAACCTGGAAGATACTGAGTCTCTATTGGTGAATATGTAATAATCTCGAAATCTAAGAAAAAGATAGATGTGAGGTTCTCTAGCAGTTGTCATTTCCATTGACATGTCATTAATTAACAAGGTAAAACCCCATCTCTTATTAAATGAAGCACTGTGCTTGGCCAGCTCTAACACTGAGAGAAAGCTAGGGCATGGAACGGGATTACATACCCCAATACTCCTGTACCCATAAACAATGGAAAGTAGGAGTTGTGCATATCAACCTGTTAAGTATCCCCTGCCTGGGTATCAAGGGCACACTATTCAGCAGTATCACCATTAGACCATGAGTCACAGCATATCAAAAGAAGACAAGCGATGACATCCTCCTAATGACTACCTTGTAGAAGACAAAGAAATTAGAACAGTACAACCCATAGATAAGTTAAAGGTATCCCCCTCTATACACTACACAAGTATCAATTTCTAGAAGTCCTCCTCCGACACATTACCCTGTTTGTGCTCACAGCCTCACAGGTGCAGCCCAATCCAATAAGAAGGCTTTTTCCCTTTAATTGCTTTCTTGTCCTGGATTTTCTTTAGTGCTGCCTAAAGTTATCAAATCACTATAATATCGAGGGAGACGACAACTCTAAGTATTTACACAAATTAAAAGTCCTTTTAATTAGTTGTAAAACTAAAAATTAGGTTCCAAACATAGACAGAACCTTTCTTCAGGGTACTGTCCCTGTTTAAAATGAAATACAAATGACTCAAGTTCAGCCCAACTAATCCTCAACGATTCCACCAAATGAGCCTCCTTACCATTGTATCATTTATTCCCTGATCCCTATTAAATGATTGAAAACCTAAGGATCTGAATCACAAAAAGTGGCTTCAAAATTGGTATATCTTTGAAGAAGGAAGAATTTAGGAGGAAAACTCACCCGATTTATTTGATCGAATTCTTGATTAGTTGTTGGGAAATTTTCTGTACTTCAATGGCAATTTATGAGTTGAATCATCTTCTTCTCGTTGGGAAATTTTCTGTACTTCAATGGCAATTTATGAGTTGAATCATCTTCTTCTCATCATGTATAAATGAAGCTTGCTGAAGCTGAAGCAGAATCAGAATCAGGCGGGAAAAGGAATGAAGGTAATCGAAAATTGAAAGGAAAATAACACCGTTTATAGTTTAATAGTTAAAAACGTTTCTTTCCCTGCCTTTTAGCAATACGATTTTAATACGTGAGAGGAGATATACATAAGAATAAAATCTCGATCAATAAATGTTCAATAAATTAAGCCCCTGTTTAACACCCATTTTTTTCTCATTCTATTTTACTTTCTTCATTTCAACCACACATTATATTAATAAAATAATATTACACATAAATCCAAAAATTTCCTTACTTTTTAACCACATAAACTTCCATCAATCACTATTCCAAAAATTATTTTTTCGAACAAAATGGGTGTCAAACAAGGACTAATAATCTTACTTAAATAATAAAATTCTTCAATCTCGGCTTAGGTCAGTGTACTAAATTAATAATCCCGTTAAGTACATAAGATAATAATTTTTTTTAGATCATTTAAGGTCCAACAAATATATAAAATAAAACTTGTTCACATTTATAAAAGTTCATACTAATACAAATTAGCAAACTTTTAATTGACAATATCTTTTTCGATTTTCCTCTTTTTCAAAATATGCATTTAAAGTCCTTTGCTTTTTTTTTTTTTTTTTTGCACACAAACCAAACTCAACTGCATTTCTAATTTTTTGCAATGCACACGTTACATTTGACATATTTTTTTTTCATTCTGTACAAAATAATTATTAAAAGTTACGACTGCTTGAAATGTCTCTTTCAGAGAAATGGTTGGTTAAATACAATTATCATCTAAATCGTGATCATCACCGATAGGTTATTAAGTACCCCTTGAATAATATTTTTCATCAATAGGAGATTCCAATCCCACATCATTCACTAGGATAATTTAAAATCACGCTCAACATCCATCACATTTCTATATCGTAGACCAGAAATAGGTTCACACAATCCATTGATCCCTTCATCTTCACTAATTTTTTACTTTAATATCGTCATTTGGGCCGAATCTTGTAGAATTTTTAATTCCTTTCAAATGAGACACCATGGTTAAAAAATAGATATGAAATTTGGAATGATTGAGGATCTTAAGTCAAAACTAATTGCTATAAAAATTATGTTCAATGTGTACATGAAATAACTTGAATGATTAAACTACCAAGATATTAAACTTTCAAGTCAATGCATATACATATACATTAATGTTTTCCTCTTTAATGTATATATGTGTGTGCCTTTTGTATGTTTACATATTAAATTTT